TTGAGTAACGTAACGGAATATGTTACAGAATACATTTTGGGGCATGTAATCTGTAATCTGTAATGGAATACATTTTAAAAGTAACCTTCCCAACACTGTTGATGCCTAACCGTGTTTATACTTTTGTAATTGTGCTTAATATAGTCAACATGTAAGCTAAGACTTATCCATTAGCATTAAAATGTTCAGAAGTGGAAATGAGAGCCAGTTTTAGTTGAACACACACATATCTAGAGTACATAATCAGCTAAAAGTTTGATTTCTTAAACTTAGGAAAAACTTTGCTCTTTGATGTCGTCATTCAGTGCTGACAAACACATGTCAGAGTCATTATATGAAATGTGCTGTAGTCTCGCTACACCTGCCGTTTTGCATCAGCTCGGGTCAGCAGAGGTGGCGTTACAGGCTCATTACAGCGCGGCGTTCTGCTCCGACGCCTCCCGGCCTCCGTGTTCAACACGCTGGATTAAGTTACTGCTGCTAAAAGCTGAAACGGCTCTGATGCACGGGCTGGTAGAGCAGAGCAGAGAGGTCGGGTCACCTGTTCTTAATGGCGTCTGTTTTACAGGCTGAACCGGAGGGTTGCATTACAACGATTACAGTCATTTTGCTTTTATTTGTAGTATTAAGCGGAGACATAATTCAGATGAGACGGAGATGTGGAGGGAGAACAAGAGTGGAAAGAAACGAGGGCGCACAGACGCTGAGTGATGAAGTCAAACGGAGTGAAAAGAGTTTTAAGAGCCTTTTAGGATCAGCGGCTGGGAAATTAGCACTCTGACATTATCTTGTTGCGCTGAGCGAAGAGGTGGACGGCGGCCAGAAACTACAACAGTGCGACGATGTCGGACAAGAGGCCGATAAGCTACTTAGTGTGTGTGTGTGTGTGTGTGTGTGCAGAGATATTAGACCTTTTTATCTGAGTTTCCAGTGTTACTGTGTGGCCTTTTAATACAACACTGACACAAAGTTATATCCCATCTCTGACTCGTGTGTGTGTTTCAGAGTGAAGTCAGTTTCATCTTCAGACCTCAAACTCACAGTCTGCATGAACACTGCTTTTTTTTGTCAGCACTTGGAAGTAACTAAGTACATTTACTTAAATATCTATCAGTTTCAGTAGATGCATGATTCTCCTCCACCACAGTTCAGGTGTAAACTACGTCTTTTATGTGACATCTATGTGGACAAAGAACCTTTTTAACAATTTTAGTTGAAGTCAAAGGACTCGTCAGTGTCAGATATTCACTATTAAAATGTTTACATAACAAATATAAAACTCTAGTCTGCACATGATACTGTCCCACGATGCACTGTTTTTCTTGCCCTGTGACAGCTGAGATCAGCTGCACTGTGCCTGTAACCATGAATTGGATGATTGGTGTGTGCCCTGCTACACTTTAACTTTAGCTTTACTGATTCCAGAGGCAGCAGAAATAAACACAAAGCAAATCTTTGAGCCTGAATAATCTCAAAGTCCACGAAAAGAAAAGGGTCAATAAATCCATCAAACTCAGAAACAGACAGGGAATAAACGGGAATGACAACAACGAACGGGAAAGGCAGAGCTTTAATGCTCACACAGGAAATGGATATGGGAGGGTGAAACAAATGTAAACAACAAGGTAAGGAAGTAAAGAGTTGTGTGTTCAGAGACATTTAATTGACACAGTAGATTAATAAAAAACAAATATCAGAGACTAAAAACCTGATCAAGAGAATGGTAACAGAAAAACCTCACACATGAAAAACGAACACAGTGTCGGACACGCTCTGCTTTTTTTGAGCTGTTAAAATCAGTAGTTTCACTTTTACCTCCAAGTAAAACGATTCCCACCCCTGCAACCTGGTGTGTTCCCTTTGTTATCCTAACAACCAGGAAATAAGATCCATATTTGCAATAACTGAAATTATCTTTTAATATCGTCCCGCAGCTTTGTGCAGGTATCATGAACCCACATGTGTGTCTCGGGAAGGCAGAGCTGTGGGAGATAAGGAGCATCATTTCTTTCGCCTGCTGCGCTGCCTCATTTACACAGATCCACGGGATAATCACGTCCCATTTTCTGCTCTTTATTCGGCCGAGGAGCAGTCAGAAAGAGCTTCTCTCTTCCTTTACAGCTTCCTATTCTGCGGCCTCTCAGCGCCGTAATCTGCCGTC